TTCATCTTGCACAGAACCAAATATACGATAGAGGAGGTGAAGTCCTGGCAGAAGCACTGAAAGTAAATAACACTCTTACTAAACTTGATCTTAGATGGAACAAAATATTCGATAGAGCAGGTGAAGCACTGGCGTCCAACTGTCTAATCGCTTTCTGGTCGAAACCTAGTGGGTTATAGGTTATCGACCACGCTGATTCCCAATACTTATCTGAGACTGGCCGCTAGGCCTTCCTAGAACGGTGTTTTGGAAAACTGATTTTCCAAAAACCTAGAAAAGTCCCTAAAACTTCCTCTTAATAGATCGCGATTGTAGCCTACGAAATTCTTATCAAAATGAGACATCTCCCACCTCTCTACATGACCGTTCTTTGCAAAGTTATAGAATTTAGGACTTTTCTTGTAAATTCTATAACTTTGCAAAGAAGGGTCATATAGAGGTGGGAGATGTCTCATTTTGATTAGCAAGATCCCTCCTGTGAGAGTCGTTGTAAGAAGATGGAATAGTCGCTCTCTAGTATACTTCGGAGGCAGCGTGGTTTTGTTTTTTTCTGGAAGTTTTCCTTGATCTGACAGCCAAGGGATGCTGTTGCTAGATCTTAGACGTTTTTGATCGGCAGCATCACTTTGCCTTAAATACATTTCCAAAGAATCGCAATCAATAATTACCCATCCAAAATAAATTTGAGGTGGAAACATGTTTCCACCTCAAATTTATTTTGGATGGGTAATTATTGATTGCGATTCTTTGGCAATGTATTTAAGGCAAAGTGATGCTGCTGATTAGAAACGTCTAAGGATCACGAAAGGAAGCACTTTTTTTCCTTATCCATTAGATCCCCTGTTTCTTTGTATGTTTTTCATGTGTGATTGTGTTCTATGTTTCTTGAATTGTTCAACATGAGTTGAAGCGCTTAAGACTTACTGCAGTTATACGAGTTAGACCGGATGCCTTGCATTCAAGGTGAGACTTCAAGGAGAGTTAATTTATTCAGTTAGTGAGATGGAGCTATGATCTCGAAAGCCGGATCAGAACTGATGAGTTCTGGTTCGCGGACAAATGATATTGTTCAGTGGCCATGAGTAATGTAGAAGACGCAATGTGAAGTCTTAAAAATGACTTTTAAGTAAAGCGATTTCAAATCTTTTGTCTTTATAAACGTCGGTAAAGTCGAACGCAAGTTTTGGAAATAGACTTATTGTCTTTTGTTATAATTATTTATTGAAAAATATATGGATGCTTCGGATTTTTTAATTTCAATCGATATAATTTAGCTACAAATTCGATGTTCTCTAGCAGCTTACTTCCATGCTAATCTCCCTCCCAATAATCGCTGGATAGATTCTATACATTGTATTCATATAATGACACATCCTGCAAAGTCATGTCCTGATAAATTATAAAGTTTTTATCGTGACATTGCTTAGTTATCATTTTCAACTTCTAACTACAGAGGCGTTTACATTACCCTAGTTACACAAATTATTTTAATTGCATTATAAATTTTTTTAAAGTTTTTAAAGGTTTTTTAAAAATAAAAATTGTAAGAATACAAAGTATACTAAGAATTATTTATCTATTATTAAAAATTAGTTAATATTGACCAAGGGAAAGAAAGGAATATTGCATTTTTCGAGCTGTATGTTTTATCCCGATAAAGTTATATCTTTACCGTTACATATAACGTTTTTGTTTTGCATGCTCCATGTATAAATAACCCTGGCCCTGTTTATAACATCTTATTTTCCACGCACATACTTATTAAAACGAATAAATATGTGAACATACTTGTTTATTACCTAAAACTTTTAACGAACATATATTGCGCACACTATAAACTATTAACGATTATCTAATTAAAATTAGAATTGTTGATTTTACAATTGGGTAGCCAGATTTAAAATTTGACTGATGAACTTGAGACAGAAGTCAAACTAATATTTAAATCTCTTTGTGATTCTAACTCTGATAACTTGGAATTTCATCGTTTAAGATACATATTGAGTTTGGATGAGACTAGTTTTTGCCTGATGGAATCACAAAGAGTTTAAATATTAATTTGACTTCTGTCTCAAGATCGTCAGTCAAACTTGAAATATGGATAGTCAAATTTAAAATCAAGAATCCTAATTTTAATTAAAAATTAAATTTATAAGCTAAAAATCGCAGCTAAAAGATAAATAGAAACTTCATTGCTTCTTCTAAAATCTGACTGCTTGCTCGAAGCATGATATTTTCCATTCAAATTTAGCGCACATATATTTCATACTTAAGTCTATGTCTTAATATTTTTGGTGTTATATCAGTCTAGCTTTTCTATGACCCTACGTGTTTTACAAAAATCAAGTTCCGTTCACTTCATCCAAACTTATCTGCAAGATTTCCTTGTAAATTTTTATCTTTTGTAGGTCTAGACCATTATTTTCTGGTAAAACTTTCGTTCAAGATCTTATCGTAGGAGCACATACAGAATTTCAGTGCATCTTGCGAAGTTTTGTAAGCTCTAATGGTACCTTGATTTTGAGATAACATTTTTCACAAAAATCAGCAATACGGATACTTTGAAATCTTGTAAAAAAGTTACAAGGTCACACGAAATCTTAGAAGAACCTACATGATTTTATAAGAATCCACCGGAGATATTTAAATCGATTATTCATACTCGAAAAATAGTCGAAAACCAACAAAATAAAAAGTGAACAAAAGAACAGATGTTGACAACATCACTAGAAGTTTATTTCTTATTTTCAAATCTTCCGTTTTTCCGAAGACGAATATTGTTGAACAAACAAGCTGACCCAATAAACATCTCAAATTAACCCATCAATCTGAGCGAAAAGATCGATCATTGGCTCAACGAACGAAAATACGGGTAAAAAATGTTATTATCACACATGAATGGTAATATCTAACCATGAATTTGGTCATTTACCGAAATTTTGAATTTTTATCTAACAGTAAGACACCGATTAAGCCAAAACAGGCACCCGAAACATTTCGGAACTATCATAGCTAAAAAAGAGAAATATAAAAATCGGGGCTCTGAGGAAATCCGATGTTGCTTTTACATCAGAAAAATTAAGAACACGCTTGATTCTTGCTTTGAAGAGGATGGATACTTTCGGTTATCCATCAATAAATTATTTTCGTTTTAAATAAATTTAAAAAATTTAATAAGATTAAGTATTTGTAGTTTTAATACAATAGATTCTGATTGAACAATTCACCAAACGTATTCATCGTTTTACTCGCCATAACGTATGCAGGAGAAATGAGGTGATCATAAAAGAACAAGATAACATTCATTAAACAGTGTTTCTTATACAAATTTTGTGTACACTTGTATTGCACCAAGAAGAATGGTAGATCGAAGCAACAGGCTAATAGTATAACAACAGCTATTGGCCACCTTCAATAGGGCTGGTGTTGCAGCAGTTTTGTCTATTTCGCAGGTAACAGCCAGATCCATGCCAACTGTGTGTGCGGAGGTGCGCACTCTCCAGTGAGTTTTTCTCCCTGGCATTCTCCCGTGTATTGTGAGAGAAACGGCCTTTTGATCCTCTTAATTTTATTTTTAAAAAACTTCTCCCAAGCGTGGCATCTTTCTTGGAAAAAGCACATTTTATCTCCTGCTTTTTTCTTTCGACACACCTCCCTTGAACGACTAGGATGACTGGCAGCATTTTTCTCAAACCTATTCTTTGTTTCGTCGCTTTTTGCCACTTTCGACATTTTTAAACGAAATAAGAGATGAAATACAAGAGAAGAAAAATAATTTTGTGTAAAGTAATTTTCAGTTTTTTCCACTCTGATTCAGCCCCGATAAAATAACATCACTGATTCAGCTTTTCAGACTGAGTTTTTTGTAGACTAGCGTGATCCCTTTAAGCATGTCTTTTTTAAAAGTAACGCCAAAACATGCGTAGAAATTGAATGCTGAGAATAAATATGTGCTAAAATGCCATGTGTAGGAGTTGAACAACCTAGTTTGGTGCCATGTACCTTCCTTCATCAACACTAAATGTTCAACACCACCCTTATATTATTCGAAACCTTACAAAAATCTCTAATAGGAATGTACGGTTCTCGGTTCCGGAATAGAGAATCGCAGTTCTAGAACCGAAACCGCGGTTCCGGTTTTCGAGTTAGAACCAAAATGAAAACGAACATAATCGTCCGAACCTAGAACTGCGGTTCTCGGTTCTTAGCTTAGAATCGAAAAAGAACTTTTGAGGCAGTAACAATTCAATGAAATAGAATCCATTTTTTAGTAAACGAAAGGATCCTTTTAAATGAGGACAGGCAAATATATCTTTTTGTAGCTTTGTCACGAGTGTGTTTTCATTTTGTTAAAAGAAAGGCAAGACATTCTATCCCATGTAAAAGAAGTTGCGCACAAGTGTACCATATGAACGCTAAACATAGTTTCCTCGAGATAAAACTGTAGTACCTGTGATTAAAAGAGGCTCAGTTCCGGAGAAAAGGAACCGTCTAAAGAACTGTGGTTCCGGTTCCATTGTCAGAACCAGCAGTGCAGTTCCGATTCCCGATGAAGAACCAGATATAAAAGAATCGCGGATCCCGTTCTTATTAAGAATCGAGAATGGAACATCGCTACTTTTTAAACGTAACTATTTACTTTTTTTAATTACGGCAACTCTAACTGAAACGTGGCTTCAAAACTTCGAATGTCGTTGGCAACTTATGGCTTATTTCAGAGATTTTTGTCTGTTCGCGACTCACAAACATGAAGTATTTTTGCATGAAGAGGTGGCTCTACCTGTAGTGATCTGTTCGTTATATAGCGTACCGTAAAGTCGTTTGCTTATCACAAGAAATCAAACTAATATGTATGCAAAGTGGTGCGCAGATCGTTTTTTTTTGTTAGAATTAGCGTTTCAAGCTTGTTAACTTAAAATTTGGACGAGTAGTATTAAAAAATTCTCCGATCATCTCGTAGAAAAGTTATCGTAGATAGACATTTGTGGACAATCGTAGCTTTAATCTTCAAATTGATCTTTATTGTCTTGTGTATAGTTGTTATCAAAATCTTCTCTAGTCAATTCTTGAACAGTTGTTTCATATTCTTCTAACCGCCGAGATTCAATACTATTCAAAATTGTTGCATTATTAGTCGGATCCAACGATTTTAATTTATAAGGTGCCGGGTATTGTTGGTCGAACAGAGTTGTCCATTCAATGTTATTTTGAAACCACAAATTACGTTTCAATTCACTTGCATCTGATAGTGTACATCCCAATCTTTTCGAAACTTCTTTGTTTAATAAATTCTTGACTATTTGTCGTGCCATACCGCTCACTCTATTTGGCCACTCAAAACGATTTAGACAAATTGTCTTCACGTGAGTTTTGAACATTTCACGCGCAAAAAATGGCGTCATAGACGTTAATAATTCAAAAAGAATTACGCCCAGTTGCCACCAATCGACAGAAAATGAGTATGGTTGACCTAAAATGCTTAAGCTCGAAAAATATCAAAAATAAATTGTTTAAAACGAACCAATAAGCATTTCAGGTGGCATGTAATCAGGCACACCCAGAATGGTACTTGTTTTACTTTCACGATTTGGCAATACTGTAGCGAAACCAAAATCACATAATTTAATGTAACCATTTAAACCTATTAAAATTGTTTCTGATTTTAAATTTCTCTTAATAAAAAGGATCTATCTATAAGAACGAACTATTTCACGTTAACGACATACATAGATAATGTTTAGTTCATGAAGATATTCTAATGCAAGAACAATTTGCGCCCCATAAAAGCACACCGCTTTCTCTTCCAACCTAAAGTAAGTACAGGTTTTGCAAGAAAAATGAATGTATGTACACAACTCATACCAACGAAATCGTCTTAAAAGATGAAATAGTGTGACACCCGTTACATATTCAAATTTAATCGCATAACAATCTTGATCATATTCCGTGAATGATGATATAAATGTAAGAATATAATTTGACTGCAGTGCGCCAAGTAAACGTCGTTCTTCGTGCATACGTTTATAAATATTTTCACCTAGAGAAGATTTTGGTGACACATTTTTTAATTCATATCGTTTCAATAGATAAATTTGATTATTGACCGAATCTCGAATTGAATATGATGAACAATAGGCACCTGAACTTAGTTTCCTAATTATGTCATATTTTTCATTAGATGATGGAAACAGTGTATCAAGATCGATTGAATACAATTGTTGAAAATTAAAACGTTTAGAACCACTAATGACAGTAGTTTGACAATAACCGGGTGATGATTCAAATATACGTGGTGATGTCAATGAGTACTTTCTTCGTCTCATTCTATATTGAACTTCATCAAGACTGATTGCCGAAGATGTTATCTTTACAACAGTCGTTTTCGGCAGCATCACGTTTTTCTTATTTTCACTTTCTGTTATCATTGTCAGCATGGTTACCAGTTTTATTGACATTTTCTGCTATGCTACGATTGTGAAAGTCATAGTAGCAGTCTCAAAAGAGACCAATTATAGATGTACATTTGATTCTGTTAGGAGAAAAGCGATGAATGAGTGTGTGAAAGATGTTAGATGACAATTACAAATGTCATCGAGCACAACAAAATATACCTTTGTTTTGTACAAATCTGACAAATTATTTGCTTTTTATTTAGAAAAACAACTTTGAATTTTTCGACCAGTTTGATAGTAGTGAAATATTTCGGTCGTGTAGTGTAAATCTGGAAAGCCAACAACGCTTCATACTTATGTACGCAAACTTTCATTTGTTTATCTTATTTTTCGTTGCTACTCACGGCGTAAATAGAACTATTTGAATTATAGAAGTGTTTCAGAAAAAGAGAAAAAAAGACGATACAATTATCTCTTATATTTGATTCTAACCAATATCTTACTTTTTTCTTACTGTTCGTTCATTTATCTGAAGTATACCAACGACCAATGAGAGAAATGCAATTTAATGAATACGATCTACTCAAGAATAAAGTACATATATATTCGTTAATAGATGAGAAAAAGAAGAGACGAGTCAACATCTAAAGGAAGAAGAAGAAGAAGATAATGATAAACTATGAGCTGAAAAAATACCTATGTGTGTATATATCGAATAAAGAAAAGCAAAAAACAAACATCGATTGGTTGAAGCGTATATATGTGCAACGATTGATGGAGGGTTAACAAAAGATATATGCCATTTTTATTTTTATATCTAATAACTCTAATCTTTTTTCGTTTTTTTCTTTATATACGCGGTTATTATCTACGATAGGATATTTTTGTTTTATATATGCAATGTATGAAAGACATTAGCAATGAATGCATGCACAAAAAAAAGAACCCTAAAACGATGATGAGGATGATTATTAGAGATAATAAATAATGATGACGTGATACATAGTGTATATAGTTCTCTCTTTTTTCTTATGTCTTTTTTCTTCTCATTTATGAATTTCGAATATTCAACTGATACTACCCGTCATCGTCGATTATAATCGATCTTTTATCTGTTCGACAGACGCCAAATTATAATTACTTAAACTTTATTATCGTCATTATTATTTGTTTCACGAAGTGATATCATCAAATGATCTGAGATGTTGACATCTTTTATGCTTAAGATTTGATTTGTATAGAAATGACTTGATTTAAAATAAACAAACATTGCTGTAAGATTATCTACCGACAGTTCAATGGCCCATTCGGTAAGTAACATAAGTGTCTCACATCACTCATAACTCACATTATTGTTGACAAGTAGTGGGAAAAGCTTCGTCTGCTGTATAATACATCGTCTTATGGAAACCATCTTTGACTTTTTAACAACATAGTCAAAATTTTGAATATCTAGAATAGTTAGCCGATGAAAACATTTTTGTTTTTCTTTATTAAATGTCAATATTACACTGCAGATGCAAAAATCGATCATTTGACTAATACAAGTTGACTAGTAGTTTTCACAATATCAATACTACGTAATGTTTGACCATATTGAATTTTGTCTACTTTTATCTATCGGACTCTAAGGTTCGACTTTATTAATATGTAAGATTACTTGTCATTTCTCCTCGTAGCTTGAAGCCAATGGAGAAGCGTATTTAGCGGCAGTGGCCGCAGCTGCAGCATATTCTAATGGTGCCCGATCAGAGAATAGTTATGAACAACATGCTTTATCAACCAATCCCTATAGTCAATCATCTCACTTATATGCACTGCCATCATCATCAAACACCAGTTCTGAAACAACGATGAAAATGGAAAAAGATCTTATTTATAGGTAAGTTGAAAGTTTTTGGTAAGAGAGGATGTGACTCCTGTTTTCTATAGTCTTTTCGATTTCCTTTATTAAATTAACTCTTCATCTTTTAAGTAACATTTCTTTTCGTTTGTTACGGAATAAACGCAACTTTTGTGAATTTTTTTTCTCGAGAGAAAACATGAAACTGTGAAGTATTTCCTTATTCCCATCAGTCAATATCATCGAGGGATAGTTAACGTATCTTGATAAACGATTGAAATAACTTATCTGCAGTTTAACATATTGTTGTTAACCGTAAACGATACAGAAATGTTCGAGTACTCACTCATAGGGGATTCAAAAACATCTGATATTTATCTTTACAAGTTCACAATAATATATTATTATATATTCTTATACTTCTTTTTAGTCACCCATTATTCCCATTATTAGCCGTTATATTTGACAAATGTGAATTAGCAACATGTTGTCCTAGAGACTCAGGAAATTCAAGTTATGTCTGCTCATTATCGTCATTTAACGAAGATATTAATGAATTTACAAAACAGGTAGCTAAAATCTCATTTAAACGTTGTTTGAAAATAACAGCATAATTAATGATTTGATTCTATAAATCTCTTTGAAAACTTCCTGAACAATCATCTCTGACAGTAAAATGTCTCGATCTATGTTTTGTCGTGAATTCGCGAACATCATGCATAATTTGTCTATACGGAGTGAAGTGTGTATCCTTCATTGTCAGAGTGAAGATAGTTCGAGTACTTCAAATGATATTGCCACTGTGTCCTCTTCATTTAAAATAGTCAAAATATTATTCTATCTCATTAAATAGCCATCACTAATTGAAGCATACACAATTCACTCTTCTACCGATTTTTGACTAGTTGTTCAAGTTGTTGAATAATTCTATATCGTTGTTCATTAATAATACAATTGAATTAGATCTTCTATATTCAAGATCAAGTATTCTTACGTAAATCTGTTTTCTTTTCCTTAGCATACAATATTGATCGTCTATTATTATAACATATAAAGCGTTATATATGTTTATAATGAACAATATTGTCATTAAACTCATATTTCGCTCTATGAACAACTTTTCAATTTTTTATTGATACTTGAACATCTTTTCAATCTTTTTATTGCGGTTTAGATAGAATATAGATACTCGATATTCTTCACTAATTACTTTAGACTACTAAGATTTTGTAATGAAAAACTAGTTTATATAACTGAATAATGTCAAGTTTAGCTAAAACAGAGCATCTCTCAGTTTTGGCATCATGTTTATTTTGATGGTTACATTCTCGAAAACTATACGGATCAATCTTTCTTTGAATATTTTTCCACTACGTCTAATAATCATTTGTTAGTCGTATGATTAGCAAAACTTATTTTTGTTCATTATAATTCCCCTCTATGCCTGTGCATCTATTTAAATAAGTTTCATATTTATTTTTAGTTGAGAAAAGAACATTCCTGTTATTCATCGAATGGCGAATTAGATAATTTGGTAAGTATTATTCTCTCTTTTCATTTGTCTGTAATACAATTACAATTACTTACATCAAAAATACAGACAAATAATAAAAAATAATTATTATAGTCTAAAAATCATTATCTTGATCTGTTTGGATCGTCTTCTAAATCATAATTGACATCTTATCCAAGAACAAATATGCTATTACCTTTTTCGGTTGCAGTTAGAACTGATTACTGCCTGTTTTTTCACTCCAACACATTGTATGGCAAATGTATAGTGTCATCAAACGGTTCAATATCGACTATTATTGAATGTTTATTCTTAAAGAGAATAGTCACAGATGTATTGTTTATTCTTGTGAGAAATATCTGAAAAACTCAAAAAAAAATGCTATAACAACTATCCGCATTCTCTGTCCTAATTATTAGCTTTTTCTTTAGATGATTCAAGCAATTCAAGTGCTCCGATTCCATTTGCTTGAACTTGAGAAAGTATATATTACTTTTATCATCATAATTTTATTTTATTATTTTTATTTCTCTCTGTTATTTAAGGTACACGAATTGTGTGATAATTTTTGTCAACGTTATATAAGTTTATTAAAAGGTAAAATGCCAACTGATATTGTTCTGGATGATCAAGATACAATATTTTCAAAATCTGATGATGAACAAAGTCAAGATGGATCGAAATCAAGTGATGATTTTGAAGATATTAAACCGGTAAGAAGAAATAGATCTAATAGTTTTTAATATTGTATATTTGATCATCTGGCATCTTGAAAGTGCTTCAAGCTATACCGTATTGTCCATTAACTATTGAACACTTTGCTTACTATTTGTTGCTATTTTAAATGTAACGTATTGATGAAGATTTTTGCTTGAAGAAATGAAAAAAAAGATGTTCATCAATGATAAAAAGATAATTATGATGAGATGGAAAATAACAAAAAAATGTCTATTGAATGGAGATGATGATCATAATTTTATAATGGCCATCAGTGTATATGATGCGATATTGATCACTTTCCTCACCTTTTAATTGTTAGATATATATTGAAAGAACAATAGTAATAGGATATAGGATAAGATGAGAAAAGATTTCGTCTTCTTTTTATTCATCTTCCATATAGACGAAAGTAACGATTAAAAAAGGATGATTTTGATTTGAACTATAACCTCGTTCTTTTTGATAAAATTTGATAAGAACCCACACGGCCGTCATAGTAGTTAGACTATTTTTTGTACTTATCATAGAAAAAAATATGTTTCAGTTATACAAAATATACGTATTTTTTCATTTCAAATGATCCCGAGAGTGAGATGCCAAAGCTATTTCTCAATGACATGAAGGAACACTTGAATACATCTGATAATCGTTGAATTACATCCCGCCATTCTGGATTCCTTAAACTTGATATCTTCAAAATATTCTCCTGTTTCGAAGACATTATTGAATTTCAACAGTTAGCAGTGTTAAAAAATTTAATAAATAGTAGAAGAGAAAGTTGTTTTTTTTTCAAATTTTGTTGTTAAGGTTCAAACAATGTTTGTCAATGACGTGTGGAAACTATGTTAGTAGAATTTTTGTCGTACTAATTTTAGGAACGATCATTGTCCAGGTGTTCACCGACGCCTACACATCGTCATATTGTTAGTCACATTCAACAACAACATTCAAGCAGCTCATCTACATCAGACAGAACAACACCAAAACCAAGTCCAAATAACAATAATATAGTCTCCCATTATGGTGATAATATTAGTGAAGCGGACAAAAGTAGTACGTTAAGCGTGTTGTTAAACAAGAGTACAAATTTTTCTCTTTATTTTAAATTAGGTGAAAATTTAGAAAGTTCAATTTGTTCAGGAGATGGTGAAGAAGAAAATGATGATCTCATAAAACGGCGACAAAAGAAACGTGGTATTTTTCCGAAATCAGCTACAAATATTATGAGAGCATGGTTATTTCAACATTTAAGTGTAAGTGATTACTTAATGACATTTTATCCACACATATCTTTATCATAGCATAAGAAAATAATCTTCAAATAACGGAGATTACCTAACTATCCAAACATTTTTAGACAGTATCATTAAGGTTATATTTATCATGATCAAATACTGTTACGTTTTCCTATTTTTTTTTGTGTTGGCATGCATTAAGGTCAAAAGAAAAAAAATGAGAATAACCTCTTGTTACGTATACTCGCCGTAATCTTTTACATGAACAAAGAAGTTTGAAAAAATCATGAATTATTTTATTTTCACTGCAAAACTATTGATTATAGTACATTAAGCGTGCTCTCACAGTTTCTTTTCACTTTGCTGTGTGACCGGCTTACCTTGATTTTGTGCGAACTTGCCCGACTGATTTCCTCTATCGATTTTTTTTACCGAATGACACAAGTAGACTTTAGGTACGATCTTAACTCAGTTTCAATACATTCATTGAATTAAGGGAAAAAATTTCTATGAGTATATTAAAAACTATGTCAATTGTTGCAAGGGACTTGTCAACTGAATAAAAATGTGTCATTTTAAAATTATAAAAACATTAATTTTTGATATGTTATTGGGTTTCAGCATCCTTACCCATCTGAAGAACAAAAAAAACTATTGGCTACCGAAACAAATTTAACCAATTTACAAGTGAACAATTGGTAAGTAATTGATATCAGTAAGAGTGAAGAGTATTTAGAAAAGCTTTTTAATATCTGTGATCTCAAGAGTTTTGTAGTATTCTGGCAATACGCTAAAGTATTGAAAATACTTATAAGATTGACGGTTTTTTGTACCATAAATATAACTGTACCCTAGAGGTATTGATTTTTTTGGTTATTTGATTGTCAACCATCAAACGTTTTTCTAAATATACGTTGATAATCATTACATGATAGAATGAAAAGTCATCGATGATACATGAACACACACAACTTTTCGCTCAACTATACAGATGTCTGTTTGTATGTATGTATAGAAGAAGAAAAAAATAATAAATTTTGATCAATCCCGCCTCTGTTAGTAGTCACGTGACACTATTTTTTGTACCTAAATGAATGTGGAAAAACGATTACTAATCAAGTAAAAAAGAAGAAAAAAAAAAGGCGAACTTGAAATTATAAAGTCATTTTGCTCTATATGTATTATATTTCAAATAGAAAAATATTCGCCTATAATTACAATATCATCTAAAGATGAGAACCAGCGACGATGACGGTTCGATAAACTTTCTTTGTCACACAACAGTATTTTTCTAAACATAAAGATGAACGACATCAAAATATTTAACGAAAAAAAAAAATCATCAGGATTGAATTATGATCCTCGTTCGTACACCTATTAATAGACGTTTAGATTCATTCATGTGCACATAAAGAAAAATATATATATATATATATATTTACGTGAAGTTAATCATCTGTCGACATGGATGACAGGATAAGAGATTATAACACCTTTCTATTCATGATTGAACAGTTGACTATAATGGAATTTTGGAATTTGACATAATCAAGAATAAAATTTTGGTGTCAATCAATTTACACGAAAACATAATTGTTTCTCATCATAATATCTTTGCTCTGTGTGTTTGAGGATATGTTGAATATATCGAAATATATAAGCAAACTAAAAGAAGATCCAACATAAACTATGGAAGAAAAAAGTACTTGAATGTTATTGTGCAAATTCGATATATATATATTGTACCAATAGTCTAATAAATACTTGATGCAATTTTTGGATTTTGTTTTCTTCTTAAAATGTATACATATATAATTGAAAAAGATATAGGGCGGAACATGTATACATATATTCACATATGTAAACAGCTGCTCTTTTATTTTTCAATGCCATTTCTCATCCTTTTGTCTAAATAACGTGGATGCCGATGATGATGATGATGATGATGATGATGATGATGATGATACTTAACATTAAGAAATGTTATCTATTTTCTTTTTTGCAATATAAAGATCATTAATCATTTTTTGACTATAAACATTGTTGACAGGTATCAATCAACCGAAACAACTAAGCAACGAACTCCGTAGTATGATGAGAAAAAATGAGTCTGCTCTTTAAATAGAGAGCAGCAGTGGGGTGATTAAGATAATGATTAAAAAGTTAAAATAGATTTTCAGCTGTTTTGCTATTTATAGATATAAAAACAAAGAACTGTAACGTATAGAAATATGTCCTATAGTTCTTTCCACTAGATATTCTGAAGCGTTAATTCTTAAATCTTTGAATAAAAAAACATGCAAACAACAGTCACCCAAAAAAGATCTGTCAGATTAGTGAACTGTTTTAACAATAATGGTGTTATGTTACGAGAAATTGAATAAAGTTGGAATTCGAAGTTAATTGTCATATTTTACTTTTTGCCTGTTTCTGATGTTTACACAATTTGTTTATTTTTCTCGTAGGTTTATCAATGCACGACGAAGAATCGTTCAACCAATGATTGATCAGTCAAATCGCGCTGGTACTTTTCTTATTAAAATTAATATTTCATTCTATTTCTACCGTGGTCCAGTTGTCCTCTTCTTGAACACCATAGTTGAGATGGAAAGTTATACTCTATCTCTTTCCATTTGTAGCTGCTGCACAAAAAGGTTTGAGCATGAATAGTAAAAGTTTGCATGTTTATAATTACTGCTTCGTGATATGACGAAACAATGTAATGTGATTGACCCATGTATGAGATACCGAGAATTTGCGTGTCGATATTTAAACTTTCTTTATTGTCTTTCGTATTCACTTTTACATGCATCTTCAAATGCTTTGATCATGATGATGCTGTTGTACCGTTGTTTAAAATAACTTTTATATTTTAGTTATCACACCTGAATATAATGATTTCTTAACGAACAATCCGTATAATCCTGATGCATTTTTTGATGCTTCTCGTCAATATGTTTATCAAACAGGTAGGTATAAAGAGGAAAAGTTAAAAATTTAGTTTATCATATAATTTCTTTTAACTTTCATTTAAATTTAAGGTCTTTATGATGAAATGACAACCAGTTATCCATATGCATCTTACTGTTCATCTATGCATCAAAATTCATTATTAACCACACACCCACATTCTTCTCTATCTATGACTCATCCACCATTGAGATCTTATACAACGAATCCAAATACTCTATCAAATGTCGCCTCGCTTCATACCAGCGGGCTAGACGAAAGCTTGAAGTGATATAAGTTATGTTCAAGAATCGACTCGATATTACTCATCTTTCTTTGATTCGTTTATGCTGTACTTATCTAACATATATATATCAAATATTAGCAATAACAATTTGTATCGAAATTTTCAATCACATAAGATCCAAAAACAACTCATTGTAATGATATCAGTAGCCGATAATCGATATAACTGGTAAAAAAAGGTCATTTCGAATCAGATTTTAAACGCATATTGTTTATTGTTATCTTGAAATTTGTAATTTTTCTTGTCCTTGCTCAGTTTTCTTTTCTTTTTGGTATTTCGATCTTCTCATATTAAAACTGAAAAGCATGATGTATAAATAGCGAGAAAAAGAAATCCTTCTCTCTATGCAATCTTCTATTTGGTAACTATATAGTAAAACCCTAAAATTAAGAGCTCTTTTATCATTGATTAGTGTGTTAAAGATTCTATCAATTAAAAGGTTAACTATCTGGCAGAAATGCAATCTTTCTTTACAACGGTAACAGAACGATGATGCTATACAGTACAGAATAAATTGACTTCTCGAAAAAATATTCCAGTACTTTGTCTTTCTGCGATAGCTAATAAAAAAACGTGATTTTTATAAAACTTCATAAAATCAAAAACAAACTCTTATTTTTTTTTCTTCTTTTAAACTAATATAAGACAAATATACGATCGATGTACACTATCATTTCGTCTCTTTTTCTTCCACATTACACGAAAGTGTAGGTGAACAAATCTATTCTTTTATTCATTATTGACATTTTCTCTTATCGGATCGATGTTGAGGTTATTTTACCTGAAATACACACATACACACATCTGCATTTTCATGATCATCACATAATAGTCTCTCCTTTGTTATTCCTTTTTCATAACAAAGAAGAAACAGAATGCGTACAATAATCCCTATCGAAAAAGCATTGTCTTTTATCGAATCTGGTTCACGTGTATTTGTTCATGGTAATATACTGATAAGACAAGAATTGTTCTAAATTTTACGTAATACATTAGTATTAACTTTTTGTAATCTATAGGATGTGCTGCTACTCCACAATATCTCAATCGTTTATTGGCTAGTCGTGCAGGCGAACTTCGAAATGTTGAAATAGTTAGTTTATTACCGCTCGATGATACCTACACGAATCCAGATTTTAAAGACAGTTTTTTTATTAACAGTTTATTTAGTTCAGTACATGTGCGACAAAGCATTTTAAACGGACACGGATCATATATTCCAGTTTTTTTAAGTGAAATACCAAGACTATTTCGAGAACAAATTTTACCGTTGGATGCTGCCTTAATACAGGTATCTCCACCTGACAAACACGGTTATTGTTCGTTAGGTGTTTCCGTCGATATCACATTATCTGCCGTTAAAAATGCAAAAAAAATTTTTGCTCAAATCAATCAAAGGATGCCACGCATACATGGTGATGGATTTATTCATATAGATAAAATTGATTCGTATGTGGAATACGATGAACCATTGATTGAACTTGACTACAGCAGAGATATATCTGAAACAGAAAAGAAAATAGGACAATATGTTGCAACTTTAGTTGAGGATGGGAGTACTTTACAAATGGGTATGGGTCCCGTACCGGACTCTGTTCTCAAATGTTTGAATAACCACAAAAATCTTGGTTTACATAGCGAACTGATTTCAGACGGGGTAATACCACTCATGGAAAATAATGTAATTACAAATAAGATGAAAAAAATATTTCGTGGTAAAAATATTTGTAGTTTTTTAATGGGAACAAAAACTCTTTATGAATACGTTAACGATAATCCGAATATCTTTGCGCTCGACGTTAGTTTTGTGAATGATCCAAGTGTAATTAGACAAAATCCAAAAGTGTGCGCAATCAACAGCTGTTTGGAAATCGATTTAACGGGACAAGTATGTTCTGATTCTCTGGGTACGTTACATTATTCAGGTGTAGGTGGTCAGTTAGATTTCATACGCGGAGCAGCATTAAGTTCAGGAGGAAAACCTATTCTGACATTACCATCTCAAACGTCAAAAGGTCAGTCACGTATAGTAAATACGTTGAAGGAAGGTGCTTCTGTTACCACAACTCGTGCACACGCTCATTATGTTGTTACCGAATATGGAATTGCCTATTTATTTGGAAAAAACTATCAACAACGGGCTAAAGAATTAATTAAAATTGCACATCCAAATCATCGAGAACAGTTAGAAAAAGCTGCAATGAAACGATTTAAAAGGATCTATTAAAAAAAACTAACGAATGTTCGTTTCTGATTTGTACATATGACATTTTGAGAAATAAAAAATGCATAAAATCTCGGAAAAAGTAGAATAGAGTACACGAATAGACATCGCTTTGTCGTTCCCTACCACTAACGGTTAACAACCTAGAGAGGAGTTTGTTAAAGTTTATACTGAAAGTTCTATTAAGTATTTCTATTACTTTCAAGTTCAGTTTCAATGGTTGCTAACAACGATTTCTGATAAAGTCAAGTTCATAAACATTTATGTACTAGTGAGCTCTATTATGCTCGCTTCTAAGCAGGTTATTTTTGTTGAGTCGATAGGAATGTAGGACATAGTACAACAAGGTCATATTAAGACAAAAAAAAGCACAACAAAATTAAAATATAAAAGCTAAAGTTTCTTTCTTTTTGTTTGAAAACATTTTTAAAGAAGAATGAAAAAATAGAACTTCCATAAAATCTGACAACAAATCTTAACAGATAACATGAGTAAACAAAAAGTAATTGTCCTTAGCAGAAAAACAAGATATGGCATTGGCTTAAGATCGAAAAGAAAGAAAATTTGAATTAACAGAAGTAATTTTCATCAATCAATAATAAAAAAAAGAGTAAACAGTCTAAGCTCACAAAATAAAATAAAAATATTTTTTGCTATCATCACCGGTTTTCTTTTTTGCCTTAGACAAGAGTAAGGCTGTTACATTTCTAGGAGACTTTTGCTAGTAGTTCATACTTCATACTTTTCTAAAAACTAGAACTTTTTTTTGACGCATATAATCTTCTAAATTAAACACTCATTCTTCTAAAAACTTTTACCAGGTTATTTCATTATTTAAGATGATTGTTACATGTTCAAGCCATGTTACTTTTTAAGAGTTGATGGTGAATCAATCTCCGTATCAGTTAATGTACCATTCGAACATAAACTATGATTATTTATTATTGTTTTGTTATCAATCGATATCGAAGGTTTCATGCGTAAAACTTCTTTAGATTTTGATTTAATTAATGTTGTAAAATCGACAAACGATGGTGATGATTTCATCGATTTTGCACAAGTTTTACATACAGGCGCATGTCGATTACTATAAAGACCGGGTAGTGGATGATTTAATTGAATGCAACGTGGACAATAAATTTCGCCACAACGCCAACAATTGTACTTTCGTTGTGTCGAATCAAACGCTAGTGAACATGAACAGCGTAATGGTGATTTTAATGATTTCCAATCTAATGCGACGGAATTTAGTTCAAGTGCGAGTCTTTCGAGTAATAATGACCCGTTTTCAGTAGAGTTATTGTATAATGATTTTGTACTATGTTGTAAATTATTTGGGGAATCACCTCCGAAACCACTTTCAGAATCACTTGGACGTAATATTGAACTTAATTTTGATGTTATTGAATCAGAATTAGTTGAGTGTATTGTTCGTTCCTCATTCGTATTTAAAATCTGCTCTGTTTCACTTAAACCACTATCGATTTCAATAAATGATACTTTTCGTTGTTCTTGCTCATCATCATCATCATCTTCAACATTGTTTTGAACGATCATCATATCACGCATCTCATGTATACGCTAAAATAACAAAAAATATATTTGTAAAACGGTGCTAAACAAAAAAAAACACAAATGAATCTTACTTTTTCAAGTAATCGTGCATGATCATTAAGTGCCGTTGTATGATCAATAATTCTGGTTAAGGTATCTGTTAGATTTTCTTTTGATAATAATGCACTATCAAATCGATGATACATTGCTAACCAGAATCTTTGAAAAAGGAAAAAAATACATCAGTATTTCTATTTCCCAAGTTCAAACTGACAAAATTTAAAATAGATTGCCTACCTCAAAGATTGTGCTGTAATATTTGGCAATAGTACTTCACCAGTATAGATAGATTGTGCACGAAATAGAGGATTCTTGAAATCACCGATATTTTGTAGAATATAATTCCAGAATGAATATGTACGATCTTTAACGCTAGAGAAGAATAAAAAATATATACAATGTATTTAAAAAAGAATAAACTAATTTGAATTTGATAGCTCACTTTAGATCAAGTCGATCTTTTTCACAATTTCCAATAAATGTTCCATATTGACATGAGGAGGCATGATCATGTAATGATATGAGATATCGTTCATTAAATTCAAATGTTGTTGGATACATTTGTGTTAATTGCCAAACACATTCGATAAACTAGAATAGTAATTCAATTAGATGATAGATAAAATAGGAAATGATATAAATAAACCTGTAAAAAGATGGGCGATTGTTCTTTAATATCCCCGTTAGCCATATGACCACATCGATCAGAAAATTTATGTCCAAAGGATAACCATTCTTTTTCAATTAATGTCTATGATATAATAAAAGAAACACGTACGATATAATTAAATTCTAATTAGTTTTTATAACATACTCGAAAACCGTAGATTGAACGATAATATGGACATAATAGTAAAGATGCTATAGAACATGTTTGTGCTGTTCTATCCCATCCATCACTACAGTGAACAAGAACATTTTTATTTTCGATTTCAATAGCCTAAAATAAAAAATAATACAATTTTCATGACTGTAGAAAAAAATAAATTCAAAAAATAAGATGTAAATACTCGTGCAATAAAGACAGATGTATCTAATATTGTCTGAATATGTTTTAACCAATCCGTTTTTTCTAATCCATTTAGATATTGATTCATTGTTGGATTTTTAAGTTCACATACTAAACAGAAGTATTTCTATATTTATAGTACTAAAATGAGAAAGATTTTGAAGATAAATTACCTTCAATTAATTTTTGTAAACTATTCTTCATTGTATGAATATTCTCGATAGCACAAAATTTGAATTGAATATTCGAATAATAACCTTCGTTCTCATAACCTTTACCTAAAATGTGAATTATTATTAGACTGTTCTAATGAGATCAGGATTCAAATGATCGATTCTGGATTGTACAGACTTTGAAAAACGAAAAAAAAAAATGTTCAATTCTGCTGTGAAGAAAATTTTTTTACAGAATTAATCTCATACGCACACATATGACAGACACGAGAGACAGCCTTGAGTATCATTTTAACGTACAAGTGAATGAGACATGTACTGTAACTATCTGATAGATACATTCATTACGAAATGTTTTCTACCAAACGAATATCGTTAATTTTCTTATTTTGTCGTCAAACTTGTGCTTAATATCATGTTTAAATCTCTCAATATTCGTCGAATATAGTTCCCACACAATCAAAAAATATGTTTTTAGCGCCATGTCTCCAACAAAAGGGAAAGTTTACTTTAAAAAGTAATTCCTTAACTCAAACCTTAATTATTTTGTGATTGGCAGTCTACATTTAAAGATTTCAGAGTATATTATTAAATGTAAGTTATATATTCGATATTCTCGTTAAACTTTGGTGATCTCTACATTGAATTCTCGTTTGATTCACCACGATTCACCATAGTTTAAATGCAAAATTTTGGACATTTATGAAAAAAAAAATAGTTTTTTTAAATAGATAGATTGTAGGAGGTAAAGCTACAAGTTTGTACAAAGGCAATCTTAAGGTTGAAGACGATTTAAAAATAATGTAGAACATTGATAAAAAAATTGTGGTAATCATGCAAAGTAGCTCGATAGATTTTCAAATTTCTTTCAAAATACGGGATTGTTTGATATGAAAATTTCGCCAATAGTAGTTAGTGTTCATGATGATAAAGTAATACACCACAAATGAGCTTTAAAGGGTGCTTCATATTTAAGAGTTTTTGAAATTACAAAAATGTACACTGAAATCTAGGTCTAATTTTTTCGAGTGAAACAATAGCAAATCCAGACTGATAGTATTTAATTTCACTCGTTAGGGGTAATAAACGGGGAAAAGGTACTGTTTTACATATAGCATTTTTCTAAAATATTGATGATGCTTTTCCAATTCCTAGTAAGATTCTGTAGAACTCTCATAAATGTTTCGCGAGGGTTTCATTTTTAGGGGATTTCACCAGTAGACAGTTCTATTTACCAAGACAGGGAACGCATAATTAATACTTAGAAATCGTGCTGTTCAATACTGAAAGTGAGAAAAATCATTTTTTTATTTCGTCACGATGAATTATATTTGTATACAATATCTATTTTGAATCGAGACACACTCAGCTATTAATCAATGAAAAAGTTTTCCCCCTTTGATCCTAGGATCTAGGAGAAAAAAAATTAATTCCCAAACTGATCCTCGTTCCGTATAGAAACTTAGAATGTAATGAGGTCGCGCAAGTTAGCACAGGTCGGACCTGATTCAAAATTATGCCAAAATGTCCGTGGTCGCATTTATTATAAATACGCACGGTAAAAGCGTTCCAAAGTTGACGCTTTTTAGTGGGCGGTTTTTTTGTCCCATCTTGGTACGCTTTTTCTTCTTGACGAATTTTTTCGTATGTTTTTTTTGTAAGATGGAAAAACAAACCTTGAAAAGATTTCCAAATAATATTTTACTCAGTTTTTAACGCACTATACTTTGGACGCGCGCCTGATCTCCTGGACCGATCCACTATCGCAGGAAATCAGTTATTTCTGAGATAAGCTAGTGCAGTGAAACGAGTCATCTATGCAGTATGCACTTAAATACTATGCTTGGACGAATTTTTGTCGACGCTCTTTTTAGTATACTTTTCGTGGACATTTTCTAGTGGGTGCTTTTTTAAACGCTTTTTTTTTACCGAGCAGTTTTGTACGTTTTTTCTACGACTTTGATATGAGTTTTCCAAAGATCTTGGTTTTTGAAATAAAACATCTATTTTTCTCGACTCAAAAACACTTTTATTGAAAACTAATGACATATTTAGAATCATCGCATGAAACTGTGCAATAAATAAAGTTTAAAAAAAACAAAAAAATTGACTTTCTCAAAGGATTGCAATTTGCCGGTATCCAATAGACTAGGACAGGTATCATCGAATTAATTGAGAAAGATCTGATAAATCATACGCAATACCTTCAGTTTGCAGTAGTATTAATCGTTTTTATGAGCAATATTCCTGGAGATTATAGTTTTACTATAAAATAAAATATTCTTCTTTTAACTGCATCAGACAAAATATAGCAAAAATTTTCTAAGCCACTAACATAGTAGTACTTTGGATACCATCTCTTTCAACTTTAATTTTCCAACGATATAGTACCTATGCCCTTCATTCGTACGCACAAAAAACAAGCGATTGAATACAGATAAAATTTATTAATGCATTTTTCAAAACTATGATGCTAAAATGATCCAGCATTAACATACCTGTAGCTCGATTAATAACTGCATTTATCTAAACCAAACATAAAAATTAGTAAATATTTATTTCAGTATTTCGACTTTTACCCTTGGCCTTGTATCCACAACACACATTGAGTTTTTATGTGTATTTGTTTTTAATATACACTGAAGTAATTGTTCATCTTCCTGACATCGTGCACTAAATCCAGCTAAAGATTGACTACATCGAGTAATAGAAGCCTAAAAACATAGAAAAAAAATGAATAATCTGATTATTTAAAATCAATTATCTTTTTACTCACACCATTAGGATGTAGATATGAGAGTACAGGCAAACGCCCTAAAATATGAAAAAGAATAAATTATTATAAAGAATGAATACTGCTGTTTACAACAGTACCTCGACTTCGAAATTTTGAGCTTCCAATTAGCATTGATTTAGATGCTATTACGGGAACGTATATGATTGGAGGATAAGTATCACAAATATCAAAATTTGAATTAATATCTTCGATTTTCCATTCACGATTTGGACAACCCATTCTCATATATTCTGTTGATAATAAAAATGGATCCCAAATTTTTTCAAGACAAGACGGTGCTTGATAGTGGAAACAATAGAGTTTTTCGTATGAATCTAAAATAAAAAGTAAATGTCATTTATCTATAATAAGTTAAAATAATTAATACTAACCAGGTCTCAATTGTAATAGTGTAAAATATAAATCTTGACCATCACGTTCCTTTGGTACGGTAAACTCTGCTGATAAAAAATGTTTTGTACGAATTTTTAAAGGGTAGCCTTGTGGATTTGATGGCAACTTTTCAACAGATGATATTAATGAATGAAGAATCTAGACGAGAACAATAAGAGAAACAGATGGATACACATGTTCGATTTTGTCAAGTGTATTATTTACCCAAGTTTCACGTTTTCCTTCTGGATCAATAAAAATTAAATGAGTAGATGTTAGATAAATGGTTCCTACAACAATTAAAATCAACTAGTTCCATCTGCTGATAAACATCATCTTTGTCCTATAATTACCTATTGTTTGTTGTCGTACGTTAAATCTATCGATCAAACGAACATTCTCCACCTGAAAAGAAATATATTCATCAATTGAACTAATCCAGAACAATTATATCATAAATAAAAACTTATTCATAAAACTCGTAAAGACTTCGTATTAAAATAAACATTAACGAATTAATATATGGTTAAATACAGGGCATAGACTTTTAATCTTAATAATAGTCTTAAACTTAACGATTGTTACGTCGTTTTTCGAAGTTAGCTATTTGATTCAGTGATTTTTTATTAGTTTACTCATACTGGGTCAGAGGTGCAACCGGTGTCGGTATACCGGTACCGGTACGAATTATAACGCCGAGCGGTATACCGGCATTAGTATGAAGTATAATCAGTCGGCCGATATTGCTGGTATTTTGCGGTGTGATACGATTTTTTTCGAAAAACATCGTGTAAATTTAGTCCATCTGTGACATATTTCTTTTACTAAAATTTTATTCCAATTACTTAAGCTATGTCGGCTTATATAAACTCCTTAATTTAAAAGCTTGAATTGGATTGCTGTTTTCACAAAAAAAAAAACGTGTAAAATATCAGCAATACATAATCAAGGTGAAAAGATTAATCTATCCTTTTGATAACATAAGTAAAGTTCACAGTAAAGAAAACAAGGAAAAAATATTTTTATTTAGGCAAAATATGATCAAGACAAGCCGGTACCGGTACGAAGTTTGTATACCGGTGACCGGTACCGGTATCGCATTTTTGATACCGGTTACACCCCTGTGGCCCACCCAGTCACTGAGTGGGCCATAAAGAATGAGCCTTTTAGTATTTTTCCTTTATCTCTTAATACTTCAGTCTCCTAGAGTTCATTCTTTTTTTTAGAAGATGCGTTGTTCAATTTTATACCCAATCGTACATAAATAGTCTGTTAGAGACCAAAGCCTTAGTTTTGATTGAAGAGAAGCAACAGTCGTCGAGAAGCCTCAAGTTTCTAACACAAAAAACTCTTTTTCTTTAACAAGGAAGTCGGACTTTCTGGTTGAATGAATTCTAACTAGTTTAAGATGTAGCTCTTAAAAAACTCAATCGACTGACTGATACGAAAATTTTATGTCATTACCTTTGACTTTTTGATACTTGATTTACGAAATGGCACAGACCCACTTTTTACCATTTTCAGACATGCAGTCTGGCACCTCGTAAAATCACTGTAAGTCGGTCAAAATTGGACCAAATAAACTTATTACTGCGTGGTTTTGCACAGAAATGTTTTTTCTACCAGAATAATGCGAAAAGAACTGATTATATCGCTTATCAAAAATTGTAGATGCTCTCCGTCAAAAATTTTGACGATTGGGTACGTAAAATTATTAATCAAAGATTTCTGCTCCGAAGGTCAACGGGAACAGCTTTATTTTAATTCCGTCGAAAAGAGCAAACTTGATAATACAAGGCAATATCTAAGTATCAGGTTAGACAACCATCAGCATGATTGATACTGTGGATCAAGCTCATGAAAAACTTTGGCAAAGTTGAAACTTCTGAACGACTTTTGCTTTTCTTCGATCAAAACTGAGGCTTTGGTCTTTAACAAACTATTTATATACGATTGTGTATATAATTAAAAAGCGCATCTTTTAAAAAAAGAATGAACTCTAGGGGACTGAAGTATTAAGAGATAAAGGAAAAGTCCTGAAACGCTCATTCTTTATGGCCCACCCGGTATGAATAAAATAATATAGATTTTCATTTTCACTTACCAATTTTTCATTAAATACAGTCAGCGGTGAGAAAAATAGTGTTGACTGATGCATTTGAATTTTCTGTTAAAGGTGATGAGAAAAACTAACTGTTGTCGTCGTTGTCAAAAAAAAAAAGAAGTTTTATGACATTTTGAACATGTTAAAATACTAATGGAGGATTCGGTCTAACAATATAGTTGCTTTAAGAGAAAAATGTTTATTCATGTAGAAAACTAGTAAAACATTAATCTATACAGAACGTAGCTACGCACGCACATATAATTAACCAATCTTTTTAAAAAAATTCCACTTCTAATTCCACTTACAGTTTTATTTTTTCTCTGCATTTTGTTTTAATTCTTTTTTTTCTCTGTCTGTACATGGATCCTTTTCTATTTTTGTGATTGACATCTTATTTTTTTTCTTCTTCTCTCTTTCAATAAGGCAAAATAATAGTATTATTATGCCCGTATATATAACACAACGTCAAGTTTTTTACACGAAGAAAAATAAGGAAAGCTGGTAACACAATAGATTTATTATTCTGTTGAACATCCTTTGTTGTCTGTTTTTTATGAAAAGAAAGAATATTATAAAAGCATAATTAAAAAAGATATTCGAATGATGAGGAGGAGAAATTATCGTTGATTCTATATATCAATGACAGTTCAAGAATAAAATATTAAGTTAAACATCAAAACTCAAATTATGGGGTATAAAAATATATTATCTTTTTCATCATCAGCCCACATTCACATGCTACAAACAAGTTTAAAAAAACTGATTAAGTGGTTCACCCATTTCATTGGAATCGTCGATAGTAATTCATACTGGGATGACTCAAAAAATTAGAAGAAGACACTATAAAACGAAATGAATCGATTTACTGTGTCGTCAAAGACAAGACTACGAACAAAAATTAGAACCTATTTGATTATCCATCGACGATAAAGAGCTATCTAATAAATATATAAATAACACACATAATATCAACATGTACGCTCAAGATCAAACTATAAAAACTCATTCCTAATGGGATAACACAACGCTTGATATAACATGAAAACTACTTAAACTATAACGATCGTTCTCTGTGCAAAATTCAGTTGATGAATTGTTGCTGTCTGTGTTTGCTTTAGCTAAATTCTCTGTATACCAGTATCTACAGCATGACTGAGTGATTTACAAATAGCTTCGCACGCTCATTCATAAGAAAGATCCAGGTAAAAATTGGTATTTATGAATCCTGCGCTTCTGTCCAGTTTTAGTTGATCCTTTCTGCTCTTCGTTTGGATATCTTTAAAACTGAGGGCTAAAATGATTTATCAATATTGACTATTAAGATTCCAGTGTGAATTGGCAGATAGTGGTGAAAAAAAACTAAAAAGTTTATTACAAACAGAAAGAGAGTATACAACTATTGTTGTCACCATCAAATTTACTGCATTTTTTTCGTTTAACTGAATTAACTGATAGTATAAATACAGTATTTTCGATCCATGATCGTTTATTAAAAAAAAGATAATGATACCCTAAGTAACAAAATGTGAACGTTGTATCGAAAAAATGACTCCTTTTTGACAATTCCGTTATCATTTACAACATTCAGTCGATTGAAAAAGACTACAATAGCAGTTATTGCCATTTAGTCAACAAATTACGACAGAATCAATCAGTACGATCATAATCAGTTTATCATCAAACAATCTTTTACGTTACTATAAGAAACCAGTATGAATCGACGCGTTCAGCTCTTTTGCAAAAAAGCTTTTTACGGCATAAGAACAGGTATATGATAACATTACTAATAGTTTTCCCACATAAACTTTCAACATAAATATAAAATAGCACAAAGTACACCAAGAATATTTTTTTTTTCTTACACATAGAAGCGATAACTTTAAATTGATGATAATGACAATATATTATTATGGCGTGAATTTGATTAATATTTGACTAATATCTGGATTCAGCGATACATCGGCAAATGCAGCAATTGCTCAAAATAACTGGATACAACTATCCTAAATCGGCAATTACTGCGAACGATAACAACTCGATTAGGCCGAAATGATGTATATCCAAATGAAGAATGAGCTTTATTAGTAACAAGATTCCTAAGTGAAAATTGATTAAATTAAGGTGATAATTTTTCTCATCGAGTCTTCTCGCCACCATCGTTAAATTTTAATAAACTTGAACAAATTACAGTCATGTACCACAATATTGAAGGATAACGCCAGAACTAGACGCACTGGAATGTTTTGTTCATTTTCACAAGTCCATGATTGTCTTCTTACAGGAAAAACGTTTTTTATAACTAAGTACATTGATGATTACATACATGAATTTTGGAGTGAAAGCAGGCAACAGGCTCGGTCACATGATGGAATAAATCATCATCGCATGAATTTTGGTGGACTTTATGCAGTTGAAAAGATAGAAACAAGACTGGAGGTCATAGGCGCCTAGAAGGAATAATCTTGTACATCTCAGATTTTGTGTTTCTCCGTTACTGATCTTTGTGCTATATTCAGAGTGAACTTTCAATCTATAAACAGCTTTTTATTCTTTTTGATGTTATTGATTACATGCGGTTTATTATTTGGCTTTGTTAACCGATTTTAGAATCGAAATGTATCGGACTCTAGTTTTCAGCTTCTGCTGACAGGAGGTTTTTAAAAGTCTGATAACTACTGACGACTGAACGACTTTCGACAAGGTATTTTATTCATCTGATTAGTCTAATCCACTCATCTCCTTTTTTTTCTTCAATGCATTGGATAGACTATCTCAACGGCGTTTTCTATTCTTCAACTTCTGCTGATCTTATATCAACAAAATATAACAATTTTCAATCATATAACGAAAATTAGATATTTCTTTTCTGATCCTCTTACATCACATTCATCAGTTAACGCTATTGCTCATGCGTGCTTTCATTCAGTGGAAGTTTAGAAGAACAATGTTGTGTTATGTGTACTATTAAAAATCCAAAACTCTCGTAATAAATTATTTTATCGATCCATTAAACAATTTATATTTATTTCTACATCAACGTGTCAGACAATTTCTTTAAATGAAAAACAATTCATCTGATCTGTCCTCATGAAAACTTCTATTTCTCCGTAACCAAACTTGAATGAATGGAATATAATAAATGCACACTTCTTGATCCTCTGCATCATCTTTTCTCTTTATCTATTAAACAAGACATTTTTTCATATATGTGAATATATTGCAGCAATACGAAAGAAAGGATCAAAGATACAGCACAATCAGCTAATTATCGTAATATTCTCTCGCCAATTCATAATAAGACTCAAGAGCAATTTATGCAGGATTAGCTGTTTTCTTACTTGAGTATACAAATGTTTGATTCCAGTGTACAGTTTGATTTTTTTGCACCTTATTATACTTCATTCAAATATGTTTAAAAAACTTAAAACGGGTGGAAATTCAATTTTAACCATATTCTGTTTTTGAAAAATCTTTGATTGGATATCTTCTTAAATATTCTTTAAGGAGTTCTACCTTGCAATAATGAAAGGGGATGGAATATCGGTGGTTAAAGAGTTATTTTAGTTGCTAACGAGGGAATCGCCCCAGGTGCCCAACTCTGATTTCCTTCATTCATACCTCGTTTTATAGAGCACATCGAGCTGGTAAAAAGCCTAAAAGGATTTTTGCGCATGGCTCTTGAAGTCTCAGTTTTCTGCAAANCAAAGTTACAGAATTTACAAGAAAAGCCCTCAATGTTCATTGGCAGCTCAAAGCTGTAGAAATAAAAAGAAATTAATTTAGGACTTTTCTTGTAAATTCTATAACTTTGCAAAGAAAGGTCATGTAGAGCTGGAAGACGTCTCATCTTAATCAGAAATGTGCGGGCTACAATTATGCATCACTATGAAAGGTTTTGATTATTTTTTAGAATTTCTCAAAAACTGGTTTTGCAGAAAACCGAGACTTCAAGACCCATGCGCAAAAATCCTTTTAGGCTTTTTACCAGCTCGAT